CCGCTACCACGTTGAGATGTAACTTGGGCATGTATCCCCTCGCAAGGCGCACAGGAACACAAGCAGTCACAAGCACGCAAGTGTCTCTTTTGCTACAGGCGCACTGCTGTCGTCTTGGTACTCTGCTATGCTAGAACCTTGAGCACAGACATGGAAACATGCAAGTGATACGTGAGGCTGACGGTGCCCGGCATGTGTAACATCCGGTACTTCACCCCTCCACCCCCTCCCACCCCACCCGCACCAACACGGCGCGCGCCAGTGACTCCAAGCAACAAGTTTACAAACATCACGTTGCTGCAAATTTTGCAGGCTGACACGTTGATACGTAGGATTTTCTCCATGTGTCGGCTTGTGTGGTTTAGACCAAGACCTTGTTTGACTGGGCAAGCTATAACATCACAGGTATTTTCGGTGTCTCTGCTTATGGGAAACATAATAATGCTGTGTGGTCCGTTGTTTAAAAACACCTGGCCTTGTTTATAAACACATGCATTTTCCATAGACACATGGGTTGCTCACGTGGAAGATGGTGCATATGTGCGTATGCCTGCCTTTCCGTGTCAAAGCAAGTGCTGTTGCTACATAGCTCAGAGTTCCAGTCTTCGCCAGCATTATGGCAACCATAGTACATGACCACAGGGATGTCAAGGGATTGTATATCAAGCCAAAAGGATTTCTGATACGGACACTTGGAGATGGAGGCGTTCGCCACAATTATAACCATAGTAGAGGACCAGAGGGATATGAAGGGATTGTGTATCAAAGCAAAAAGATTTCTGGTACGGATAGTTGTGAAGATGGAGGCCATGCAAGATTATGCCAGGGCCTAGACCAAAAGGATATGAATGTGGAGTGGAGCTTTATCATTCCCCGAGCGAGGCTTCAGCGGCAGCGGCCCCATAAAACCGATGTCCGCATTCATACTGACCCAGATACTTGGCATGTTGGATTGTAGCCTGTGGTAGTAACCGAAAGTATAGTGCCTATCGTTCCAGTCAGCTAAGACAAGTAGTAAACTTTTTAAGCATTGGCTGTTTTTCTTTGACTCCTTGACAGTCACACATGTTGATACAATATATCAAACTCACTCATATTTGCTGACATGCAGTAACAAAGCACTGGTTTAAACACTTGTTTGGAATCCTACGCACTTTGCAAAATAATTGCGCTAGTTTAACACGTACATGTTCTCAAACAACCAAACATTGCATGCCAAGGCAGATGGTGCGTGGAGTTCTTCTCGTCTTGGGTGGATTGGCCGGATAGGATGAAAAGTCTTGAAGGGAAAGATTATACGGCTTCGTGCGGGGCGTGTCGAGTCTATGCGGCCTACGCCAAGACTTGGCTTGATAAAGTAAAGAATACACGGTATTTCCGGTGATTCCTGCCTGTGATAAAATTAATACCGCGGTGTCGTACCGTTGACGTCTGACTATGCACAGGCTAAGTCTGACGTTGACTACATTACTCAGGTTCAGAAGTGAAGGCTACTTTGTGGTGTAATGCTGCGTGTACCTTAGAGGTTTTGGAGGATGTTCGAATGTAAATATGATAGAGAAATATGATCGAGAAAATGGACTTGCAAAACCCAGGCGCCAACCAACCTATCTTGTAACAAAACGTGGGCCCTCTCAACAGTTCCCTAATCCTGTAAAAAGTGGTTTTCAAAACCAAGGCCCCGCAGCAACCTGCTCTACAGACCTTGAATCGTTCAAGGTTGGGGCTTAGGGCCGAACCCTCAACAGTCAAATAAGAGCAATAACAAAACGCGATTTTTCTGCGGCGGCCGGAGTATTAATGGGGTGGTGGCCTTGCGTGGGCTAGGCCTTTGAAGGCTGAAAAAACTAAATATTCTACATCGGCATTTGATTTAAAGGGCACCTCTGCAATTTCTTCATTCCAGCCCTGCTTCATGTTTAGGCTTGCTTCATGTTGAGCCTGTAATGGAGTCATGGGCGACATGTTTTGCAGAGACTGTCCTAACCTCCCACTAAACCCTGGACCCCAACCTGCCCCCAAACCCTAAACCTCTAAGCTCAACATGGGGCAGAAGGTTGCCATTAAACGGGGAGGCGTTTTGGCAAGGGTTTTGTTTCCGGGGGGTTGGGGGATGGGGGGGCGCCCTGGTGGAAGAGGCCAGCACCTTTAAAACATGGTTGCAGCCAGGTCCGAGGCCCGAGCGGCATGCCTTGAATCACGGGGTATGATTAATCAAGAGTTGACCTTAGCGACAGCTTCGCAAGAAGCAGATGGTCGGAACGGAGAATCAGTAACTATCCAAAAGTAAAGTTCTGCATGCTGCCGTCAGCAGCAGCAGCAGCAGCAGATTGCCGCACTGAGCATCGTCGTGTCTTTCAGTCTGGCTTTAATCTATGGGCAATGGGCCACAATGGGTGCTGGTCATTATGCTTGGAAAGGCTTGTATGCGACTTTATATGACCCTTTAACCCGAATCCTAAAATCCTTGACATTTTGCGATAACTTGTCAGGAGGATGACGATGGTCAGGCCCTGGTCTTAGCACGGGCCTATAGGGAGGGCCTCCAACCTCCATGTCCGGCACTATCGGACCCAAGGTCATGGAACACGCGCACGACATGCCGCAGGAAGAGGGAAGTACGCCAGATTGATTGTTCGGATTCGAATTTGCAGAATCACAGGAGATGGGAGATCTTGCTGGTCCGATTTCTCCAAACACGAAGCTGCATCAACACTTCGGCGCGGCTTGTCTGCATGTCAGTTCAGAAGACCGCCTTCGTCAACGTATAACAGATTGGTGTTGCCGAGGCAATTGTCAAGAACACTTTCCTGGAGGTACAGGACGACGACGAGGTTGCTCCCAAACTCAGGCTCGTTCATACAGCTGGAGGCCGAGATTCTGTTGTAGCTCAGATCGTCCTCGTGCCATTTCATGCAGTTTGGATCAGCGAGTCATTCAGGCTTTGGCCTCAGAGGTGTGAGTGCTTTCCGCCGAGGCTGCCGGGAGGCTGGACAGCATGGGAGGACTGCCTTCCAATCCTTCTTTCGAGACCTTGATGTAAATCAATGCTTCTCGAATGTCAAGCTTTGAGAACTGCAGTCAAGTTCAGTTTCGCCAATGCTCAGAAAAGCTGAGCAGACACTGCAGGCACCTGCCCTTTGCTAATCTATTGTTGTTTGCTGCGCCTCTTGGCCCCCTTGTGGGGAAGACCTGCGGAAGCTTTGACAACTTTGACGAGAAATTCCGTTCAGACCTGCTAGTGGATACCACTTCAGCATTTTCTATCTCTACACGGAGGGGCTATTGACAGATGTCAGCGGGCTGATAACTACTCCCGCAGCAGGGCGTCAGCTGGCGGATGCAGCGGCGTGCCGAGAAGGGATATCCACATATGTCTGCATGCCATATGGCCTGTAGGGAGAACACATGGAAGTGTCAAACCCCTTGTTGCTTCTCTCCGTCTCGGCGCCGGTTCACGCCATGCCGTATGCGCAATGCTCGCATCCGCATTCGTCTAGAGAGGTGCAAGTGGAGATGTTGAAGCTGGCTACACACAATGCAGTTACTACAGTTTACTAAAGAGTCAAAAGGCTGGACCATCCTCGAGACCGGGAGCATTTGCAACAAATGATCCCTAGATCGCAAAACATAATCCTCGTGCTGAGCGCTTAGCAATAGTCGCAGCGGGCTGGCAGAGCCTCATCTGTGCAAT